CCTCCCCCCCTTTTTTTTTCTTGGCCCGGCGGTCCTTCCCAGAACAAAAAAAAAAAAGCTTTTTCTCCCCGGGGGGGAATGTTTCACCACCAAAGGTTCGGGGCCGAAACCAAAAGGCGAGGCCCCGGAAACCCCCCCCCCCCCCCCCATGTGGCCTCCGTCCCCATTCAGAACCCTTTTGGGGGGCGTCCCGGCGTCAAAAAGGGTCAATAGGGTTTCCCCCCTCCAGGTAGTACGTTCAATGTCCAGCACAGCGGCCCCTCCCCACTCCTTATTGGGCCCCCCCCCCCCCCGCCGCCGCCGGGTATCTTCATACATGACGTTCACCTCGCGAAGTGGTTCGCCCCCTGATCGGGCAAGTCGTCGCGGTCGACGCTGGTGAGGACGACGTAGCCCAGCCCCCAGTCCGTAACGGCCTTCGCCACCTTCTCGGGCTCGTCGGCGTCCAACGGGGGGGGCGCGCGGCTCGTCTTGACGGCGCAAAAGCTGTTGTTTTTTTTTCCCGCGTCGTTTAAGTTTTTTTTTTGTCGGAACAAAATACGCGCGAAAACAACGTGTGGTTTGGGAGGGGGTGGAACGTCGGAAAAGACAAGCGGAACCGGCTAAGCGGTTGCTCAATCGACTCCCGTTTTGTTTGTTCCGCCGGGAAAAAATGAGGAGCATGCCGCGTGGGTGAGGGGGGGTCAAGACGAGGGGCAACGCAGATTGTGTTGACTGCTGTTTATCGTTGTGGTTTCGAGACGGAAAGCATGCGTGCGCTGCTATAATACCGTGTGAGTTCAGGCTTTCTAGCGCTCGCCATATATTTCAAGTTAACCATTGACCACTTGCAACCAGTTGACCCTGTGGTGGGCGGGAAGGGGGACCAACACCGGTGTAAAATAATCCGATCGCATCGGTGTGTTCTCGAGAACGTGCCGCAAAATACACAACAGCATGCGTGAAAACCTACACAACAAGCGCAAGACAGTGAACACACTATTGATAGACAACGTCTAGAGATGGCACGTGTGAAAGCATGCAGACCACCAAAAACAGCAGTGGCCGATGTGTCAGCTCTGCCCCTGCCGGCTTGCTTACACGGGCGCCCGTTGCTCACTGCTGTTGGATCCTGTTGGCTCGCTCCATCTACGTGTGTATAACTTTTTTCCGCACCTGCACCCTCTCGTGCACGTGTCGCCCATGATCATAATCGTTGCCGTCGCGGTACCGTCGGCCCCGCCCCAGCACTCCCCTATGTTCGGGCACTTGGCCTCCTCGCAGACCGTGGCAAGGCCTAGCTCCCTCACGGTGGACCGAAGCCGCTCGTAGTTATGGCCCTGGGTGGGGACGGCCTTGAGCCAATTGGGCTTGCGATGGATAACCTGCCAACGGGAAGAAGAAAGAGGTTGTGTCTTGTTCATTGGTTGAGAACTCGGGGTTGTGCTATGTCGCGTGGGGACAGAGGGACAATAACATCAAGAACTCTGCATGTTTTTTTCGTTGATTGAGAAGAAGTCGGGGGTTGTGTTACAGCAGTAGGCCACGTGCGAGAGGGTTTTCAAGAGCTCTGGCTGCGTTCGGGACCGTTCGAGGGCTATTGGGAGTTGGTGGAGTGTTACATACATCACAGACAAGTTTTCTCCACAAAACCAGACCATGTTGCGTGGCTCTTATGGCATAGCGCACGCACGAGGGAAATAAGGATTAGACGCCAAATCTGCTTGGGGAAAACAGACGATGCTTTTGTATGTGTCTTGCTCTTCGGCATGGTACAGGTGGACAACAGCAGCGGGGCAAAACGTCCAAAAATTAGATGCTCCGAATGGAGGGCTTTTGAATTGATAGTCTTTTCATGAGACCACCGAGCGGAGTGGCCTAGACTATCTGTCGTTGACTTTTAATGGCTTGCGGACCCTTCGGGTCCATTTTATTTTCGTATACCTTTTTTTTGGGTAAGTTAGCCTGTGACCACGGGAATCGACCCCGTCAAGTGTTAGACTAGTATAGTACGGACAGAAGAAGGTACTGAGCAGAGAGAACGGAACGGTTTTTAATGTGAAGACAACAACAACAACAACAACAACAACCACCACCGTCGTGTGAGAGTCGTGCAGACACCATCGATCGATACACCTTGCCGGCCTCACGAAAATGAAAACCATCGGCCAACAGCTGTCACTAGCTTGGCTCGGGAGCTACACGAAGAAGATTCCATCGGGAGGGCGGTGCAACAACAGCAGTAGCACTCTCTTGTGTGCACTCGCCGCCGTGCTGTCACGCGTTCACAACACAAAAAGGGCTCCCCGCGGGCGTGTGTGCGTGCGTTTTCGAGAGACACCCGCGTTTTGCGCTGGCAAAAGGTTGGTATTAAGAGTATGGCGTGAGAACAGGAAACCTGATCCCTCGTGCCGTGCACACAGGCAGCACATCATACCTGATGCGGCACTTCGCAAGTGCTACACTACGTACGTAGTTCAGGGTTCAGGGCTACACCCACACAAACCTACGGACTTGACAGTAGTTGACTTGCTCGTGTGCACGCATCACGGAAGAAGCGGCGTAATTACGGACACACTCGAGGGCTCCGATATTCTTCGGTGATACAAAGCAGCAAAGCAGCAGCAGTCCCACATTTACCTGTTTTGGCCACGACAATTGCGCTACATTCGGCGGGTTGTGGTGAGCGTCTGCGTTCTTTGGGTACCAAATATACGGCAGCACGTGGGTGGCGGGGTGTTGCTGTCTGACAAGAACGCGGATGTTTGTCGCTGACAGGCACACCCACCTTGCCGGTTTTATCCCGATTGCGTCTCGGGACAGCGGTTCCGTAGGACACGTCCCCAGAAAAGGAGAAGTCGTGGAGCGTCACGCCCATCGCCGCAGACGCTTCCTCGTCTCTGAGCTTCTTGCGAAGAGCGCCAAGCCGGCTGTCGCTTTCATCCACCGCCGGCGCCGCGCTGCTCAGCGCTCTGGTGCTGCTGCGGCCTATCTGCTGCTGCAGCATAGCGCGCCCTTGCCGGCACGCGGTGCGTGTGCTGCTGATGGCAATCGTCGACATAGCCAACAAGAGGTCTACCGCAGGCTCGCGTTGCGTATCGCCTGTGAACCATGAAACACTCGCGAAACAGAGATAGAAAGACCTCTACGGCCGCTTGTCTAGAAGTAGCGTGCAGAGTTTAACCATTTAACCAGCGTTTCAAGTCGCGCGCGCGGCCGCTTGGTCAGGGCGACCAGGAGAAACGCCAACTTCAACTCCTGGGGTGAAACCGACATTTTTTTTCATTCAATGGTCGCGCGACGACGCTCGTAGATCCTGGCATGTCTGTGTATGTAGTTTCCTCCATATCTAGATATTGGCGTCTCCCTCTCAATATATATATTCCTCTTTCCCCCACTCTTATCTCCTCCCTCTATCTCCCTCTCTCTACACATCTCTTCCCGTCGATTCTCTGCAACAAAAAATGATACTGCTTAGTAAGTAAAGGCATATACGAACCACACCAGGCTGTATCTTCCTCTAGAATGGAGCAGCAGCAGGAGCACCCGCCGGAAGAGGTGTCTTGGGTGCAGCCCGCGGAATCCCTAGTGTTTTCTGTCTCTCCCGTCGGTTCTTCTGGCAGCAATGCCTGCGACCAAGCTAGAAATGACCGCAAGTGTTTCAGTGTTGGCAGTCGAGACGGCGGCGAACGGGAGGACGAGGAAGATCCTCCGCTGATAGGGGAATACATTTGGACCACTGGCAGCGCAGGCGATGGAGGCAGGCTCGACGACGAAAGGAATGCATCTGAAGGAGAATCGTTGCCACTACCAGCGACAACAACAACACCTGTAGGTCAAGCGCCCCGCAGCCGTCCGTTGTCAGACAACAACGACGGATTTTCTTCTGCGGGTGACGGTAGGAGCAATCCTTCTCCTCATGCTCCCGACATGATCGCCGACCGCAGCTGCGAGGAGGGTAATGACGATTCCGGCGATACCGTTAGCCACTCGCCATCGGGTGTGCATCTTGAGTCCAGGGGGCAGCAGCAGCAGCAGCAGCAGACGCAGCAGCGTTGCCTTGATGACGAAGATATCGACGAGGTCGAGAGGTCGCATGAACCTCCTGGCGACAGGGAAGAAGCTACCGACAGAAACGAGAATCTTACAGAGGAATCACACACACCACGAGCTAATGGAGAATCACAGCAGCACCACCAGCGAGTCGCTGCCGAGCAGGGTTGGAATGATTATGGCCGCGATGAGAACGAGATGGGATGGGCTAGCGACAATGACGACAATGCCGTAGATGATGTTGGAGAAGAGTTTGCTCCGGCGTGGGATCAAGGAAGACCTGCCGAGTTTGACGGTGGCAGCGGTGGTTTGGACCATGAAGACTTCGGGCAGAGCAGCAGATCTGACTCGTCAGCAGATGAACAAGGCATGGTCTCCCCACATCTGCAAGACCCGCGGCATCTTCGGGAAGCAGCCTTTCTACCTGATTACGACAGGGTAGAGGACGACGACACCGATACAGATGTCAAATCCGATAGCGACAGCAGTAGCGGCGGCGATGGCCAAGGCGCTCTTCAAAGCCCGTCGCTGTCCACATGCCGTGGTCGCGAGGAATCACAGTCCTTCTCCCGTGCTGTCCGCCGTCGCACAAGGCTTAGCCTTGACCGAGAGAGGAGGCGTCTCGATCGCGTGCCTCGAAGCCAGCGGCTGAGCCAGGTACGAGGGCACCCGCTCGGGGGCATGACGCTCCTTCAGCTCGAGGAAAGACATCTGCTGGACGTCGGAATCGGACAGATGACGAGGCAACTCGCTAGGCGGCGGGGTCGTGGTGGCGGTGATGGGGGCGGGGGCGTGCGGCAATCGAACGAGGACCTCCTCCGTCGATCAGCGCGTCTCATCCGGCGCGCGCAGGAAGAGCGTGACTCTCGATTGATGATCGGGAACGCGGCGGCCTATCACCCCAGCAGTAGGTACCTTGGCGGTGATACCCGGTTCTCGAATGCTTTTCGGGATGAACCCTGGGACGGTGACGTGGGGGGCAGGTCCCAATCAGCAGGAGGGAGAAAAGGAGGGGGAAGCACCAAACGGAGAAGCCGACGGCCCGCTTCGGCGTCGCGAGATCGCGGCAGTCGTCGTTTGATGTCTTCCTCCTTCTCCCTCGAGCCGACCGGTGGGGGCTCAAGGGACAGGGCATATTCCACCTCGGACTACAACAGACAAGCATGGGGACGTACGCTCGAGGCCGAAGCTCCTCCGATGGGGCTTTACTCGGGCGGGGGCACTAGGTGTAGCCTCAAACAGCGACGACCTTTGTCGGCCAAGCCAGCGCTCACTTCCGGATGGGAGCCAGGGAGAGCGAGGACGCGGGGCCGTGGCGGTAACGGCGACAGGTGGGATCACTTTGATGAAGATGATCGCAGAGCCGTGCACTCTCGTGGGGAAAGAGGAACGGTGAGGGCAGAAGCGGGGGTTCGTAGCAATGAAGACGGGGGGCTGGACTACTCGGACATGTCGGACCTTAGTCCGCACGGGATTGTGGAGTACACCGATGAAGAGGAAGGACCTTTCAAGTGAGTGAATCGTCTGAAGCAACAACCCGCGCTCGTCTTTCGCGCATGCACAAACAGCAACAATCCGCGCAACGAACAGATATATATTAGTATGTAGACGATTCAAGATTCAAAAGCAACACGCAACAAGAGAAGACCCGGCACGAAATCGGATACTTGGTGGGGATATAAGGTGCGTGCGACACCCAAACGGGTTGGTTTATATGGGGATGGCTGGCAAGGGTCTCGTTCCCGTTATGGGGTGCCTTCCGTTAATCAAAGGTTATGGACAACAATATCAAGTTGCTTCATACAGTCAAAATGGTAAGGGTACAGGTACCACCTGCGGTGCCATTTGTGTTTGTTGTTGTTGGAACCCACATCGCCCGCTATCTCGCCTCCTGAAAAACGTACATACTGCTCAGCGGTCGATCGTAACACGATCAGGTTCTAAGTTGGATACATCATCAACTCTCCGCTAATATGTTGAGAACGGCTTTCTCTCATCCGAGTGTTTTCTCCATCCTCCCGTCCATCGGACGCACTCGACGCCAAAACATGCAGCGTGGACGAGCTGGAGCGCGTGGCCGCCTCATACCTGCTACGGCCTCGAGCGTCTGTGTGCCTCTCTTCAGCCGCGGTAGATGACGACGAGCGTTTCGCGGACGACGGTAGCGTTTACATCTACAGAGAAAACGAACGCCCGCCTTTAGGGAACGAGCAACTTGGGGAAGAACAGGAGGACGAATACGACGAGCGCGGCGGTGGCGGCGTCGACGGGAGCTACAATCGAGGGAACTTCTTCGATGCACCAAGCGTACAGAGTTGTGAAAGAGCGCTTCCGAGGGGAGAGACTGAACGCTGGCAGGAAGAGCGCCACAGAACGCGAAAAGTTGGTGGCAGCAGCAGCGACGGGGGTGGACCGGAAGGCTACCTCTACCGCGGGGGGCTCTTACAGCAATCCGAAGCCGGGCGTGGTGAACGCGGTTCCCGAAGAGGCGGGGCAGGCCATACTTCTGCTGGAGCCAACCAAAAGGACCACAACAGGCCAGGAAGCCCAAGTCGTCACTCATGGTCGCCGCGGCAGCAGCAGCAGCAAAAACAACAACAACAACAACAACACCGACACCAGCCGCGGCGTGTTGCGGAATCATGTAGTGGTCCTGGCCATGCAACAAGAAATGAAGCTGGATCTGGTGGCCTTGGCGACAAGCACAACGAAATGAGAGGTGGGAGAACGAACGACCCCTCAAGCGCACCACACGATGGGCCAAGGAGCCAGAGCGATCACAACCGGTGTAACGTCGCGTCGTTGGACGGTCGCGACGCAAGTCCGGATCGCAAGTCGTCCCGTAGGTGCGTTCCTGCAGAAAATTTCGTCGTCCCGGTGCCTGGCGCCAGCTACAGCCCAAAGATAGACAGAGGGCTACGAGGATGGCGAGACCGTGACAAGAGTAATAGTACGCGAGGACCGGGGGAAGAACATGTCGATGGCGCTTGGAAACCCAACGACAAGGTCAGAGAAATCGTTGCTCGCCTCCGAAGCATGATACTGGAAAGGCAGACTTCCGCGAATCGGTCCATCCGGGAGGTGTTCGGACACTTCGACCGACGGCGCTGTGGATATGTCAACGTTGCCGAGATGAGAGATGCGCTGGCCGACCTTCGAATCAAGCTTTCTGCAAGGGAGGCAACGGTAGGTTGCGTGGGTTTACCTTACTATACCTGGCATGGCGAAGACGAAACCTTTGATTTGTATCTTCCAGGCATAAGGTTCTACACTCTGGAACCATGATCCCCACATGGATGGAGTTAGGCAAGAAGTGGCAGCCTTCCTACAAGTCCCAGGAGTTTTCTTCCTGATTTCACAGGGTATTCGATTTTTTCACAGCTGAAGTGTACATTTCCCGGATGACCCCCCTTGTTCTGTGCGGCTTATGGTCTGGGGACCACCTCGCTGTCTCGCGTAAGAAACTAGTATCGAGCAGCCAGCATAAACTTTACATCCGCGCTTCATCGCCCCTGAGATGTCGAACTTTCCGCTTTGTGGGTAACACGACGTTGTGTCCACCTTTTGAAGGATCTTCACTCGATGATGGCCCTGGACGGAGGGGACCGCCTGAGCTACGCCGAGTTCGTCGTGTTCGTCACAGACCCGCACCACTCCGAGCTCCAGGGGAAGGTTTGCGAGCAGGCGGCCGAGCAGCTCGAGGGGGTCGGCCGCAGATCGTTCAACCTGGACGCGGCCTTCCGTTCCGTACCAGCACCGCTGAACGCCGCGTTTACCGGCGATTCTTCGTCTGAAGGCGGCGGGGATCCCTGGCCCGAGACTGCGATGGTAGCTTCAGCGCCTTCACACCAACACATGCAGCAAGGCAAAGGGCACCTTGCCACGGGCGGGATGTCGGCTCTTCGGCAAGGGGGATTAGGAGTGTCGGCGAAAGCGGCGGCGGTAGACCGGCACAGCTGCAGCGAGAGCGGTCTTGGCGATGTCGGGGCCGAAGGGGAGAAGCAGGGCGTTTCCGCCGAAGAGTTCTTGGCGGGGCTAAGGGGTCTCGGGTTGCGCCTGTCTGTGTCCGACGCTCACCGATTGATCGTCAGATTCGACGTTCACGGGGACGGACACCTTTCGACACGCCGCTTCATCTCGATGGTGGAGAGCTCACGCCCATGGACTCGAGCGCTGACGCGGTTGGCCCACCAGGAGGAGGCGGACGAAGAGGCCGACGCCTGTCTACGCGCGTACAGAGTACACGGGGAGTGGCCATCCGCGGTGGAGCAGAGTCAGGGACAAGGCGTGGCTCTCACTCTTGACGCGGATATTGTGGAGATGGCCCGGTACATTGGGATCCGCGTGAGCAGCGACTCTTCGTTGCTCTGGATTGCGGCTGACGCCCTAGCTGCGCCGCTCCCCAACGGTTGGGCGATGCACAAGAGCAAGGAAGGGAGGTGGTTCTACCACAACGACCTTACAGGTAATTTGTGTTCGAGTTGGTGGTGGTGTGTACAAGCTGAAGTCACTCTGTCAAAAAGGCCTGGGAGGCCGATCAGCGTAGCCCACCCGTGGTGGCTTTGTCACCCCATACGGCGTAACCCCTACGAAAGAGTAGCGCACCATGCACCTGGTCGGGTGCCTGTATGTATTGGCTGTTGAGTTATTCCTGTCCAGGACAGGGAGGTAGAGCCTCCAAATCACTCTATTTATGGTGCACATGTAACAGCAGTGTTGACGCAAACAGGGCATATTACGATAGGCACATGTCCTTTGGTAGTCAGATGACCGCTGCGCATGCGTGTACATGGACACGAATATTGGTGGAACAATGAGAAAATGGCAAGATTCCGTACCCTCTCCCTCGACGGCCCGCTGTCTACTACGAAACAAGGTCAATCGCGATGGGACCATCCCCTCGACCCACACTTCCGTCAACTCTACCTGCGAGAAAGGTTCGGGCCCGGAAACTCTCCGGAAGACAAGCAGGTCGTCCTCGCCCACGGGCCCTCGGCAGAAGCATCTCAACAGGGTACTGGTGTGTTTGCGGGGGAAGGTAACCCGCACAGGCAGGGCGGTGCCGGTGCGGTTGGCGCTCATGGTGGACCAGCAGCAGGCCACCCGAACGCCACCCCCATCGTAGTCAGCGATCGGCCACCGGTCATGCTGCCCCCACGTCGAATGCGCCCGAACGTGCTGGACTTCACTGCGGACAAGGCTCTCGACAACCTGCGCGCTCGCAGGCTGAACGTCGGCGGTAGCAGTGGTTCGACGCTCGCTGGGGTAACAGCTGTGGCGACAGCGCCCGCGGCGGTGATGAGGTCGGCAAGCGGCCCCGACATCAACGCCAACCCTGCCGTCGTTGACGTTAACCCTAGCCGCCACTTCCACAGTAGCGGGGAGCTTTGGACGGACGGTAGAGTCCACGTGAGCAACGTGCCGCCCGCCAGCCCGGCGGGACCACGGCGACGCCGGCCCGTATCAGCTTCTGCGGTGTGTGAGGGACTCGTGGATAGGGAGTTGGGGCTGAATGTGGCGGCCACAGACGTCCCGTGTCCAAGTGGCAGCAGGCTGGATGAAGGCAGAGGCGGTGGGACCACTAGAACCACGGTGCACGACCGGCCACGGATTCTCGACCCACGGCAGAATCAGCGCCCAAGTAGTAGCGGTGCAAGCGAGCTAGCGCCGACGGCGAAAGCAAGCAGGCCGCGCTCGGCGACAGCCGCCCTCCAGAGACCTCCACCAGTGGCACCCGATCACCATCATCATTATCATCATCATCAACGGCCCGACTACGGCGGCAATGTCTCTGGCCGGGGAGGAGAGTACAACAACGACGAGCACAACCAGCGGGAGGTATACATGGCAAACAGAAACCGCGACCAGTCTCGGCTGTTCTCGGCGGTGTCGACTCCAATTTCGGCAAACGAGACGAACGGTGGCCGTGAAGAGGGGCAGCACTTTTCACAAGAGGACGGCAGCGTGCGTGTTCGGCGGCTGCTGCCCCAAGGAAATCGTGGGGGCGTCGCGAAGTGGTCGGCAGTAGAAGGAGAAACGGCCGAGATGCAGCGGCATGCGCTCGAAGAGGGAGAGCGATCGTGGCTGCGTAGTAGGTGAGAGGAGTTTGTGAACACATATTGATGTGCGGACGTTGGCCCGTTTCTGTGCTCCTTCAGCTACTCCCCTGCACCTATTCGAGAGAAACGTGTCAACCGTGGGAAGGTCCCGGGTATCGGACGATGTTAAAAGTGTTCTAGAGAAAAGTAAAATCGTGAATGGAGAACTCGATTGTTCCAGGAGGCACCTGAAGAACGAACTCCAACAAGGCCCACTTAGTGCTAGGCCGGTGCCGTATACGACACGCCAAGTCGGCAGCACGCGCGCTTCTGGTGTACTATTGAAGCGCAATGGTGAACACGGACGTCGTGTGATTTAGGCCAGGGTAAGTCACACCAAGAGGGTCCTCTTCGTGTGGAGGGGCACCGATCTGCAAGAGACAGCATCAAGTCCCGCCCATTGGGTCACGTGGAACGGGACGACTTCGACAGAGCTCTCACGTTGTCACACTCTTTAGAGAAAGCCCACGTACTTTCCAACCCCGCTGTAATAATTATGCCCTGTAGGTGTAACGGCGGCTGAACCTACCTCGCACGTCATCACACCATAAACACCCCCAAGTATCAAGCAGGACACCACCGCAGACGAGCTGGACTGTGTATAGTGCCCAAACCGAAACATTGCACTGCACCATCGATGCAAAATGATAGCAAGTAGCTTAATTGATGGCCAGCGAGGCCTAAAGCGACTAATGGTTCCCCTATCGGCACCCGGCCACGTATGCAATGCTGTGGACGGAGGTGTGTATTTTTCCGTACTGAAAGAATGCAAACACCCGGTTCGCATGGATCTTCTGTCAGGCTGGTCGAGCTCTGCACAAAACTGGACGAGGCGGAGGCGCTCGCCAAAGGAGAGCAGCAGTACCAGCAGCAGCAACACCACTCCTATGCATACCACCAAAGCCAACAGCAGCGTCAGCATTTCGGTGCTGGGGATCCCACGGCAAACCAGCCGCGAGTTGAGAGTGCCGGATGGGGAAGCGAACGAGGCGAAGGAGGAGGAGAAGGAGGGAGGGGAAATGGCCGTCTTAACGAGCCGTCTCGACAACCAAACACCTTCGAGGATACTGGCAGCGGCAACGTGACATCCGAGAACGATCGTGGCAGGTACGTGGGTTTCGAAGGGATCCTGTGTCCGCAATTGTACCGAACCACAGGAACATCCCGCAAACAATAACGGCGTTCGTTTCGCACTTTTACCGTGCCTCTGATCGCCTCACGATGACAGAGTCTCTGGCTCAAGGAGGGATAACGAGGTGCTGACAAACGGAGAGAACAGCGGCCATGTACGACACTCTTCCAGCGGCGGCAACGTCGACAGTAACAACAAGGCCAACGGCAACACCAGTGGCAGCAATAGTAGTCGCCTCCGCGAAGAAATATTGGAGCTGAGCCACCGCATGGAGTCCCTCGAGACGCGGATGCTGGGACGACGCGGCCGCTCCTCCTCGCCAACCGGACAAAACGCCGGCGGGAACGATATCGACAACGGCGGAGACCAAGAAGAACATTACCGCGGTCATCATGATCTCGGCCCTGAGCGACGTGCGCCAACAGCATCATTACAGGCCACCGGAACAACAGCAACAACAAATGCATCCGCGCAGCAGCGATTCCTTCAGCACGGGGCGGCTGATCACGGTGGCAAACATACCACCTTGAGACACGGCTCCCAGGACGACCTGGACTACCGCTCGCCCGAGAGGAACAAAAGAGCGAATGACTTGTCCAAGAAGTCTTGGTCGCCCCCAGGGGGGAGCAGCACCGGAGCCGGTGTGAGGCCCCCAGCACGCGCAGGTAGCAGCAGTAGTACCAGCAGCAGCGCCGAACCGTCCCTTGCGTTCGTGGCCAGAGACTTGACCTCACCCCACCTTCATCGATGGGAAGGCGGGAACAGCGCCGCTGGTTCAAGGGCGGCGACGGGTGAGCGCAGGAGCAACGGTGGCGGTGCCGGCAGGGTGGAAAGAGCAAGGACGGGTGCAAGAAGAAGTCAGATAGGCCGCCGGAGCAGTAGAGGCAGTAGTACCAACCCCCCTGGAATAGTCTTGATCTGAACTCCTCCAGGATTGTCCTGATTTGAAGTCATCAGCGCTTTGTGTTCTGTTCATGCCGGTCTTTGGTGCTTGTCGTGGTGAAGGAAGAGACAGGGGAGAGGGGAGACGGGAGCAGCAAAAACCGGCGGGTTAAAGCTGTGGAGGTCCGAGCCTCCCGGAGCAGCCTTTCTCTCCAGGGATACCATCCAGACTTGCCTCCAAGCGTTCTGTATTTTATTTCGGTAATAATGCTATTTGCTCCACTGGTAAGTTCTGATTTGCTCCACCAGGCAGATCTCCGTCCACAGAGGTCCAATCGACCTCAAACCAATTGAATCGTGTAGTAGGTAGGCTACAGCTATTTAGCAAGTCCAGCGGTGAACCTCCCCATGTCAGGAATCAACCTAGCACCTACCAAAGCAAAACGAAAAATATTCGATGCACCGGATAAAAATTCTAAGGCTAACCCTAACCTCAAAGCCACCCGATAGGTGCTACTGTAGGTTAGCTCTGGTTAAGTTGTAGGTTGACGGGCCGGCATTAGCGCTAGGCTGGTGTTGATAGGAGAACTTATTGCTTGGGTAGGTGCTAGGTTGGTTCCTGACGTGGGTAGGTGCACCGGTGGAGTACTTGCGAGAAGCTGTAGCCTACCTACTACACGATGCATTTGGTTTGAGGTCGATTGGAGCTCTGTGGGCGAAGAACTACCTGGTGCAGCAAATAACTGGTCTGGTGGAGAAAATAAAAAGTTACTCTATCTACCGGTTGAGCAAATAACATTTCCATTTTTTGGAGATATTTTTTCACACGAAAGGGACCACCCAAAACAGGATCTACATACGGTGCTGGTCGATTCTCTTTGCTCATCCGAGTCATTGACAAAAAAAGAGACCATGCAACGGCCGTTCGTCACACATACGTGCACCTTCCCACCGATTTGGTTTTTCGGTGATACATCAGCACAGAGTGAAGCAGCAGCAACTGTAAACCTATCCCCCGCGAGCTGTGTGTATGGTCCGTCTTGTGTGGTGGCTGATAGAGACCACAGGGCGATAGGAGACACAGAACCTGAGGTGGTGAGAGTGAACATCACGACGCTCGAAAGAAGCCCACCGCGCCAGCAACCAGTTTTGTTTGCTCTTTCGCCCGTGTCGCAACTTTAACTTTGGTTTCCCGATGATCCCTCGCCACCCACTCAAGCAACAGAGATGACAAAGGCATCCGCCACGAGTTGTGTGTATGCTCCGTCTTGTATGTATGGTGGTTGATACAGACCAGGAGGCTGAACGGCCCTCAGAAAAATTGTGAGCACGAGAGTCGAGGACACGCTAGAAAAATGACCCACCGTGTCTCGTCTGTCTGCAAGCAGCTTTTTTTGCTCTTTGTCCATGTCGCAAATTTGGTTCACCGATAACCACTCGCCCCCCTTGCCGATAATCACGGGTATTACGCAAGCCTGCCCCCCCGGTAGGGGGGCGGACGAAGCACCCTAGATCCTCCGGCGGCCCCTATACGGGGAGGTGTTGTGGGATTACACGCGTAGCGATCCCTGAAGACCCTGATCAAGACTCACTTGTTCATTAATCTCTTGGAACAACAGCAGTGCTTGCTGTTGCTTTGCTCTCAAAGGTAGACTGAGCAAAGAGGGGGAGGACATATTCCGTCTAAAAGGGGTCACAAAGGTCCTATCCCCTGTTTTAGACGTCCATCGGGGAGTTAGTTGTGCATCTCCCGCACTTTCCTCTGGGAATTACTCCGCAATACCGTTGACGACACTGGCTACACAATTCAAATCCCAAAACAGAGGCCACTACGCGGGGGGCGCCTCCCGGGGGGGGGCTGCGGGAGGCTACAGTGCCGCAACACGCCTTCCGCGCGGCGTTGCGACAACCTGTGATTGCCGCACACACATAGGCCTGCGGATTGCGGACCGATGCTGGGAACCGGTTCTTCGGTCGCGAACCGGTTCTTCTTCTGTCGCAACCGGTGATGTCGCGGTGGTCGGTGCAGATCAGTGTCGAAGTGTAACCAAGCAGTAACCAAGGCTCCCAAGGCTCGTGTAGGTGGCGGGTTGCGGGGCTCCGCGGTCTGCTCGGACTCGCTCTCGGACGCTCGCAAGCATACCCACACTGCTACCACACTGCTTTGCTGCTTTGAACAGCAGTTGCCATGACTACCGAAGGTGAGAGGGGTTGGGTTGGGTTGAGGCTGTACGCAAGAGAGGAATATAGGGGGCGTGACGTTGCACCGCTTCCTGCAGCTGTCCAAAGGGTTCGAGTCCGGGCTTGATCTATCCAACCCGCTATGGCCTGCGCCAAAGGAAATCAATTTCGTCGTCATTGACGAGATCTCCATGGCCACGGCTCACCTACCTACTTGACGCCACGGATCATGTACATAGGAGAGCGGCACTACCGCACAAACGACGTGCACCGTTCGGAAGAAGGACCATCCTCGCCATTGAGGACCTTTGCCAACTGCCACCAGTGTCCCCCTGTCTGTTCGGGGTGGTGCACAGCAACTGTGCGGTGTACATCTTGGGACTTTGGTCGAAATTCAAGATGCATGAGCTCAGAGAAAATTTCCGCCAGCAGGATGACCCCGACTTCCACATTTGCCTAGACGAGCTACATGACGGCGTGCCGGACGGCGAAGCCTGGGACGCCCTTTTCTCCACGATGGTGGGACTCGACGGCAGTCCAGGGCTCGAGCACACGACGCACGACTCGCTAATCAATGCCTCTCAAACGACACCGTGCATTGCCCCGTACAAGAGAAGCTCTCCTGACCAAGGTGACACAGTGCCCCAGTGCCGAGTTTAACATGGACCACCTCCGAGCCTTGGGAGACAACGGGGAGGAACGCCAATCCTGCACGCCCAGCACGGGTGGCCAAAGGAGGTTGTAACTGATGCCCAACCTCCCCGGGAGTCAGGTTGTACGCCGACGTATGCAGCTAGCACCGCAACACGGATTGCGACTTTGGTCCAAGCAGGGCGGCCTGGCAGCGTAGACTACATGTTGTCCAAGGTCGATCCCCAACGTCCCAACCTGACCCCCGGGGATGTTGAGCACCAGTTGTAACCTCCTTTTGGCCACCCGTGAGACCTTGGTCAAACAGAATGACACGAAACTCAACCGCGTTAAGGGACGCCACCCTATCGTCGTGTCCTCGAGTATGCTGATTTGCCTGACACCCTCGTCCTCCACGAGGAACTCAAGGTGAGATTCGTGGAATATTGGACATCCTTCGTACACTACCACGTTGGAAGCTACTCTCTTCCCAACTAGTCAGTCTCTTCCCGAAACCGACGAACAAACACCGAGCCTTCCCGCCCTCGACACCTCTTCTTCAGATTGTCATCACGACAAACGTCGACCAACAGGGTGGGATCGTGAACGAAACTTGTGGTCTCGTCAGGCGCTGGGAACACACCGCGGCTTCGTTGGAGGCAGAGATACACGAGCAGGAAGTAGACCATAAACACCCGGCGTGGGTCGAGGTTGAGCTTACGAGCGGCAACGGGAGGGAGAACACCGTTAAAATACAGTCCTTCGAGGATAAAAACGTATGGGTGCCCTACTGCAGGGGGGTAGCGGTCAGCGACGCCTACATCGTTAGCAGTCATGGTCGCTGCTTGCATAACCGTTCACAGAGTGCAAGGTGTAGGGTTCGAAGGGATGGCCGTGTGGAATCCTTCTAGAGGGTTATTCGCCCAAGGTCACGGGTACACCGCCTCCAGGGGGAAACTCTCGACGGCCTGTTCCTCGTGTTGCCAGACGATGTCTTACAGGACAGAGAGTTAGCGAGGGAGTTCCTAAAGGAGACTTTTCAACCGCCCATTTGATGCCATCAACGCTCTCGCCGACATGCGCCAAAAGCACCGGCGACAGTTACGGTGAACGTGAGGGGTAGGGCAGTTGGGCACGCTACACTGTGGGACAAAAGACAGTCATACAAGGCCGCAAGCGAGTGGGCAGGTGTCTGGCCTGGAGTACTGTACAAAGGTTTGGGTGGGGCAAGGCGTATCGAGGGGGTATGCACTGCTGAGCGGTCGAACAATTAATCTTCTCGTGCAATAGAACCTAGTGTTTACGAGCAAAGAGAGGCACACCGACCGGCGTGTCGAAGAAACAAACCAGGAATTTCCTCGACAGGGGGTCCATCACATTGCCTGCGCATGAACTGTCTTTGAGTACATGCGAGTCTATCCGCACTGTGACCGCACACTGCAGCACGCCCGAAACCCCGTGAAGTGCCTTCGAACGAAAGCGAGTCACATGGCACTGTGACCTCACACTGCAGCACGCCCAAAACCCCGTTAAGTGCCTGCGAGCGAAGCGAGTGACGATGCCACTCGTCTTCACTCCAAAACGATTACATCAATCAACAACACACCAAACTATGAATTTTTGCATCTTCAGTTCCCCCTCCTCTCCCCGGACCTTTAGCCAACCAATATTCCACCCGAACAAACCATTTGCTCAAGAATCTCGAGCAAATTACGCACCTCCCCACGGCTACACCACCTTCACCGAACATTTAAGACTCCCTCCCCCCTGTGTAGGATATACTCTCGCCGCTTAGAACACCAACACACGACCCCTCGGCAGTACAGCAATTCTCAGGTGACAGAACACACCAAACGTTGCGGCTTCTTTCTTCTCTTGCTCGACACAAGCGAGAGGGCGATATCGTGTTTTCACACCGCGCGTGTGTTGCAGATCTACGCTTGGGGATGAGGAGAGAGCCAACGATACCTCTCTCTCGGCAACTACTCTCGCCCTCCGCGCACCCAAACTCACTCACCACTCCCAAGGAAAAATCGTCGTGGGCCTCAGCCACCACTTAACTCGGCATGATTGCCTACAAACGAAAGGCACGAGCCGAGCGGGGAGCCCAGCGACAGAAGAACCGATCAACGTCTGCCAACCGACGGCAACCACCTTGTTCCTTTCTCCGACCTCAACCACCGAGTCTCCCAGCAAGAAACTGTCTCAAGGCCCACCACATATTATTTGCATTCTTACGTGTGTATCGTTCATTCAATATCTCAGGAAAGAGCGAGTGCCTGGATGCCTTCATTGTCGCATTGAACCAGGCGTGCGATGGACAAAAAAAACGTTGGTATGCATCTACGTTGGAGCTGCAGCT